ATAACAATAACAAATTTAACAAAACCTCAGAATATGTTTTTACAATACATAAGCATGTATAAGCAATGATTTCACTCTGTGTGTAAAAATCAAAGAACAAGTATTCAACCTCAATTTGACAACCAAACAACTAAAAAAATTGACTAAAATAATTTTTTATTGCACATAGTAAAGTAATTCTAAAAATAAAGTTATATCTCTCATTATATTGCTCATACAATTTATCTATAATACTTTATGGGGGTCGGAAGATAATGAATTATCTTACGTAATTATGATACATGAAATTCAAGTGTAAAACACCTTTAAAACTCTTAAGAGGATTTTTAAGAACTCTAATTTGCATGAAGAAAACATTTCCTGAACGTGTAATGCAGAAACCAAATACATCTTTACTGCCAATCTTGGGTAGTGCATTTTGAAATAACAACACTTTTGTAAATATATATAGCAACTAGCCATCAAGGTCAGCTTAGCCCTTCATGCAAATTAAATATGATAATTACAGACACGCAAATTAATATGGGTATAACAACAATATCTTAACATGCCTCTTGATCTGAATCAGATTCCTCTGCTGCGGCCGAGTCATCTGCGGACTGTTTTAATGACCTGGCTTCTTCTTCATCACCACTCACAGCGACAGTCAACAATGGATCTACAGAAGCCAGTCAAATAATTAAACTATGTAGAATAGAAATTTACCAATGATTCATGTGTCCATCACAATTTTAAGGCATTTAATTAACCTATCAATATGTATGCAAGCACTAGTTAATTCAACTCTGTGCTACTGCATTGAATACAAACACACTCATCCTTACCACATGCTTCCCTGTAAGCATCTGCTTGAACATACAAAACATAAAGAGGTTTAGGTAAATGGTAGGCAGCTTGATGTTGTCTGCGGATCTTGTCCAGAGGTAATCCAAGATAATCTTGTAGAGGTCTTGTCACCTTAGAAAAATTAACAAATCATTATTGCAGTCTTCCAGTCAAACATTCGACTCAAAATAGATCGATGATTCACTATGGAGGCTACTCTGTCCCATTGTTTTTTACTTTATTTGGTCCAATATTCTTCACAACACTTTGATCTCAAACATAAAATATATTCTTCCATCAGAGTGACAGCCCAAACTTCATTCACCTACAAAATAACATATTTAAATCATAAATCTGATTGATAAGGATATACTGAATAATAAAATTCTCTTCTAATGATCTGCATTTTGGGCGACTGTGTCCTGTAGAAAAGGACTGAACTATTTGAAAATTTAGAGTAATTCCCTTTCACTATTTTATGCACACTTTAAGCTGAAGATAATAAGACCATTAACAATTACCCATAATACAGCATCACTACTGAAGAACTACAACATCCAGAACTTTTCATCTATTCCTACAGCTCAATGACATCCTAACCGGTGATAAAATACAGAATAACATCATCTTCATCATCAACTAAAGACAGGTATAATAAATACCTCAAGTATATTTTTTAGACGTGGTGTTAGGTTGTCCAACCTCTCTCTTTTACTCTGTATCTCCTTAGCTACTGTCTCTTTTGCTGCCTGCAATTTCTGGCACAGAACTGCCAACTGTTTGCGCTGCTCCAGTTCCCATTCCAGTCTTGCTAACTTGAGTTGATGAGAGTCATTTTTTGTCACATCCTACATAAAAGAATAGGAAAATTGGATAAACTATTGACATTATAACAGTACACGGTACAATTCATTAATTGATCCATAAGTTATTTAATGATACTTTGTTCATGTCTTTTGTTATGAAGCTACTAATAAGTAGTCTGTGATAGCAGCAATTAATAGACTTATCTTTGATATTTCACATTATAACTTACCAAAAATTACAAAATCATTAAAATTAACAATGCAGCAATTAGATCAGTTCTCACTAATGCAACAAACTTGTACCACTCAAATATAAAGAGTACTTGCAAAGAGAGGAAAGGTGAAAGGGTTAAGACAAATGCCAGGACTAACTTAAAATATGACAAAGCCACTTCTTGCCACATCTTTTCCATCTCAGCATCCACTGACATGCTGTAACTTCCCATCCAAAGTCATATGATGTATACAGTTAATACAGTATCAATGTAACATATATGATTTCTTGTGTAATTATTTTTGCAGTAATTCTGCAGTTGACTATAAATTACTGCAATCCAACTGAAAACTATTTTGAAAGCATACGTATCATTGAACTAATAAATGCTAAGGATACAATTAAAAATATAATACTTATCACAGCACATAGGATGATATTCTGATTTCTTGCAGAAACTGATCTGAAATGGTTTAAATTACAGTACTAGCATGGTAACTTACTGGACGTGAGAGCGACTCTGGTGCTTCCTTAAAAAATTCTTCCACTGGCACAAGATCAATTTCTTCATCTTTTGATCTGTAAGTAATGAAGGTTTATACATATTAGTAGCACTGAATATTTAAGGCATACTGATAATAAACTGATAAGGAGAAAAACTTTATGTGTTGTGGTCACTTTTCAGCCTTCACAGACTCTTTATGTCCCACTACTGCTGATGGTAGGATTATAGTGAGGGGATGACTTACAGATTAATTCTGATTCTAAATGGGGGACTTCCCATGAATTACATATAAAAATGGTTACAAAAAGATTATGATCAGGTGGGGTATTTAGGGATTAGTATTCTTTACATCTGTGAAGTGTTATGTTTGACAGCGATGGGAAAATTATGGTAAAATCTGCATTGTGCCTTGTGAGTCTCAAACCTGATACCTTCATACACAAGACA